AGTAAAAGGTCAAATACAATAAACAAGGGCATAGACTATACCTGTTACATTTCTCCCACTTTCTCTAGACTAATTGTACAATGCTCGTAGACCTAGACTTCCTAGATGACCCTCAAACACTTTAGCCGTGAGTGCCTTCATAAAATGATTAGCAATGTTATGCTCCAAAGCGATCTTTGTGATGATCACGTCTCCCTCCCCCCCTCAGCTGCACTATCTCCCGTATAAGGTGGTACTTCCTTTCGATATGCTTGCTCCTCTCGTGGTTTCGGGGGTTTTTAGAATTTGCCACAACACTACCGTTATCACAATAAAGTGTGATGGGCAAGTTCATGTTTGGAATTCTTCCAAATCGGTTAAGAACTTCCTAAGCCAAACCGCTTCTTTTGCTGTTTCACAAGCTGCAACATACTCAGCCTCCACGGTGGAGTCTGCGATGCATCATTGTTTGATGCTTCGCTGAAACACTGCTCCTCCGTTAAGAGTGAATACTAACCCTGACATGGATTTCCTATAATCCTTGTTTGTTTGGAAGTCAGAGTTAGTGTATCCTGTAAGGATCACATCCTTAGAGCTATACATGAGCTTTTAGACCCTCGTTCTCCTAAGATACTTGAAGATTCCTTTAACAGCAGTATAGTGATCATATATTTGGTTTAATTGATACCTACTGGCCATCCCTATTGCATAGCAAATATCAGGCCTAGTACAAAGCGTAACGTACATCAGACTGCCCACTGCTGAAGTATAGGGTGTGTGTCTCATATCCTCAACTTCTTTAGGTGTCTTACTTCCTTAGACAAGATGAATTCCATACCTGAAATACAATACGCCCTTCTTGGAATTATGCATCAAATATCGAACAAGCATCTTGTCGATATAAGTTGCTTGAGACAGGACTAGCGTTTTGTTGCTGCGGTCGCTTTGAATTTGGATTCAAATAACATATTGAGCTTCTCCCAAATCCTTCATTTAGAACTCAGTAGCTAGCCACGTCTTTATGTTAGTGAGATACTCTACATCATTCTTAATGAGTAGAATATCATCCACATACAATACTAAGAAGGCTACATTGTTGTTGATGATCTTCTTGTATACACAAGGCTCATCAACGTAAGTGTGACTCACCAGTTTCAGACACCAGATGTCCACCCCAATAATCTCGTCATAGGGAAGGACGATATTGGAGCAAAACCTAAGAGACGCTTATCCATTTATCGAGTTTGCTTTGGTTTCGATTCCATACAATGGACCCTCCGTAGGGATGATCGCTTCAATATGGCACGTAGGTCATGTATGAAATCTCACTATGAAAACTAATAGCAGAGACCGTAGGATGTGTGAACACATCGTTCTCCTACTTACTATGAATACTATCTCCATTCACCATGATATTGGACCATGGAAACACCTTCTGTAGGGAGGTGGTGCCCAAGGCAACACGATGCCGAGCATGGAACTCACAATTTGAACTTTAAGGAGAAACGTGATGGAAAAAGGATATACATATACCTCATATTACTTGGTATATTGAATCTATACCATAACCTTCCACTTAGTATTCTAAGACTAGGGTATATTACCTAGGTAAATTCCGGCTAAATGAAATTAACTAACTGAATTTTTAGTTGGCCCAATATAATTATTAATATTGGAAGTTTTACATTAATATTTTAGTTTATTAAAAATTTTAATAAACTAATGACATTATTGCATGCATATAAAATATTGACTAATTCAACCTTTAGGTCACTTCCAAGGTAGAGGTGTTCCCTTTCGATCAGCTTAAATATCTCAACCCAGATAGAACCTTCCTTTGACAGGTTCCCTTGTAGGCTATGTTTCATAGTTAGTCTTTTATTATTTCATTTTAAACTCTATTAGAACAAAATAAAAGACTACCTCTAATAGACTTTAGGAAACAAAGGGACAAAATTAATTAACTTGTAGCTATCTCAAATTAAGTAATTTTGTCCCTTTGTTTCCCTAAAGTCTATTATGTCATCTATGTAAACATGGAAAAGCCATAAATACACATACATAAGCCAACCCCTTGCCACTTATTTCAATCAATCAGGATAATTATGGATCATAAACTCATGAACAGCATTTGAACAATTAATATGAATTAAGGCGTCAATTTAATTAATATAAATTCTTCATAAATAATAAAAACAAGAAACAAATAATACTTGAAAAGGAAGAAATCTTTATCTTAACTTGAGCCTCCCAAGCTTACAATCTGACTTGAATCACCCTTGAATTGAAAGAATTCAACCCTAGCCACTTATGGTAGATGGAGAGAACTTGAATTTTGGAGAAGAGAGTTTTTCGTTGCAACTGGAATGATGGATCTCCCAATAAGACTTCTCTATTTATAGAGATTAATTGTATCCTCTTTTAAAGAGAAATTACCTCTAATAAGGAATTCATAACTAATTGTTCAGATCCTGTTTAAAAGAAAACAAATTAATTAAAAGAGTTCCTAATCAATTAAGGATTATATTTCCTACTTTGATTATATCTCTTTATTTACAAAATATCCTAAAAATTCATAATTCTCAAATTGAAGCGTTCCGCCATAATAATTATGTATATATTTTATTCCTTGAGCTCTCCTCAATTTGGTGAAGTCTATATTATTCTCTAAAATTCGACTTTTAAATTATTATTCTTGAATATCTTCAATCTGTCACAAAATGATAAATTATAATTAAATTCAAATATTTAAACTTAATAAATTAATAAAATGTAAAATAAATATATAAAATATGGGTGTATTTTTCATCTTATCAAATTCCCCCACACTTAATTTATGCTCGTCCTCGAGCATATCTTAACTTGACATACCGACTCCCCTCTCTACTCCTTTTTATATTTCTCAATATGCAAAATACTGGTAAAGTTAATCACACATCAATGAAATGAATCATAATGACAATCAAGTGAATAAGCATTGATAAGTTATTATTTATAAAAACTCAAGTATCTCATTAACTCATTAAAATTAAAATGCAGAAGACTTGACACCTCCATAGAGTTTCACTCAATTCTCTAAAAGTGCTTTTACGTTGCTTTACTCTCAAAGACAAAACTTAGCATGTTATTACCATATGCTTGTAAATGAATCAAATCTCCCCACTTAAACATGAAATGAATGCAAAAGATTAAAGGGAATTTAATATTGGTTGTAATGGGACTTATGTAAGGGTGTGGTAAAAAGAATTTTAGGAGTTTACAATCAAGACAACGTACTTATTTGCTTGCATGATATTGAAATAAACATACTACTTGTAGCTTGTATTCTCTTCTCACATTTTCTTCGGGCACTAAGAACCTTGGAGAAGTAGCATTAATTGATTGCTTCTTGAGAATTATTTCTCCAAATGTCCTCTCTAATCCATTAAGGGAACGAGGTAACTTCTTTTCATGATGTGACCTTTTTTTCTCTTTTTTTGTACTACATAGTTTGGATAATGGCTTGAACAGTAAGAATGTAACATCGTGCAATATTTTTATTTAATTATTGTCTTGACAAAGGTAGAATATTGAAGATAATAAATGAAAAAGACCCAAGGTTTAAGTATTGTTAAAAGTAATAAAAAAATGGAAAATTAAGCTCAAAGGTGGCTTTCTAAAGGAAAATGTTAAAAGGTTGGCTTTTTAGAAGTTTGAAATTTGGGTAAGCCTAAATTGCCCTTGTCACATTAAAGCATCACATCAAACATGTGGTCACAAAATGTATTCATAAGCAAGTTTTAGAATTATCATGCTAAATTTTATCACACTCAT